AACAAAAACCCCATTCACAGCCCTCTCCAGTTCACCTCCAAAGTACGTAGGGGGTAAAAAGACAATGACCCTTCCTCAAACCTACATGCACAAACCACGCATTTTATAAGCATGTAGGAGGACCTGGTTGATTCACTTTTCAAACTTGAAAAATGAGGCATATTAACAAAGCACACTAAATGAATCAGCTGTTTGGGATGATGTACAAGCCAGTTCATTTTCCTGTTATTAAATAACAAACCATGAATCTTGACAAATGAGCCCCTCTTGTTTGACATTATTTGCAAAACTCAGAACATGCTGGCTTCTGACGGTCACTTCCCCTCTGAAATTAAATTTTAAGATGGACTTTATTTAAGTTCTGATGGAGGGGAAGGGCTCGTTAGCCTTCGTGCAGACGGCACCCTGTTCATCAACGGTGTTCCTTCCTCCCGCTCACGCCTGGCTCTCTAGAGCTGCAGAGTCACCCTCCAGGGCCCGCGGCCAGCACGCTGGCTATGTTGCTGGGCAACCCTATCGTTAAGACATGAAGTTCGGAGCATTGTGGAGACTGCATGGCTTCTGGGGTCAGCATTCCTCTGTTCAAATTGGGGCTCCAGCCTTGTGACCTTGAGAAAATCACTTGCCCTTTTTGTGCCTCAGTTTCCTCATTTGTAAACTGAGATTAATATCTGTTGCCTGGCCTTGCTGGTGTGGCTCAGTGGTTGAGTGTCGACCCGTGCACCAAGAGGTCACCAGTTGGATTCCCAGTCAGGGCACATGCCCAGGTTGTTGGCCGGATCCCCAGTGGGGGGCATGCAGGAGGTGGCCAATCGATATTCTCTCTCATGGATGGGTCTATCTCTCTCTCCCTCTCAAAATCAATAAAGAAAAAAAAATATCAGTTGCCTGGTTTGGCTATTATAAAGACAACATGTAAAATGCTCAGCAAGGCCCTGGCCGGGTGGCTCAGTGGGTTAGACCATCATCCCAATATGCCAGGTTGTGGGTTCAGTTCCCTCATCAGGGCATATACAAGAATCAGCCAATAAATGTATAAGTGGAACAACAAATCCATGTTTCTGTTTCTCTCTCCCTTCCTAACCCTTTAAAATCAATTTTTAAAAATGCTTAGCAAGCATACATTAAATGTTACCTGTGATTAGTAGAATCTTTATCTTAAGAATAACATCTTCAAAAATGTGTCCCAGCCAACTTGGCTCAGTGGTTAAAGTGTCAGCCCACGGACCAAAGGGTCGTGGGTTCGATTCCAGTCAAGGGCACCTGGGTTGCAGGTTTGATCGCTGGCCCTGGTCAGGTTCATGCAGGGAGCAACCAATCGATGTGTCTCTCTCACATCGATGTTTTGCTCTCCCTTCCTCCCTCCCTTCCACTCTCTCCAACAATCAATGGAAAAATAACCTGGGGTGAAGATTCACAACAACAACAACAACAAAAGAATAACATCTTCAAAAATGGATGCCAAGTCATTTGGCTTAATTTTCTAAAGAGAGCACTGGTACTGATCCACTAATTTAGCAGCCCCAACAAGTGAGTAAGAAAACTTCAACCCCCACCCCATAATCCCTCCCAGACCCTCCCAGCCATGCCACCATGAATAAACATCAGAAAAATCGGCATGCTTGCCAAGCATAGGCAGCTTCAGCTTCTAGAGAGGTTGTCTATCTTCCTCCTTCAATCAGACTGCCATCCCAAGCCCCTCTTTTGAAAAATCTGCTGTTTCTACTAGTTTTAACCAACTGACAGTGCAAATTCATGGTAACTCCCAGCCCTGTTACAGCTCAGTGTCACAGAGTTCAGCATCCCCGACCGTCAGTCCTCCACCCCTAAACAGGATTTATAAAGTGCGACTTTGAGCTATATAGCAAAGTCAATTTCATCTGACAGAAAATATTTTTCTACTAACATTTTAAAATGTCTTCCTCAGTGCCTCAAAATGATTTAAAAGCTAATCAATGATAAAATTCCAGGTTCATTTAAAGACCAAGAATAGAGAAGGGAATCAGTCACATTTAACCACTTCTAATCAGGAAAGTGGCTGCCGTGACCCATTGACCCCTAAAGATTATGGATGCTCCTTTTTTTTTTAAAGATGTTGTAGTTTAGTCATTTGTCTTTGGCAGCCAGAGCATAGAAAAGCTCTCCTGCTTTTCACAAATTGATTCATTTTAGCCTGTGCATTTGTCAGGCATCCCTGGAAACTTCAACCAATGTTTTGTTGATTAAAAGATGTGTTTTGAAAATGGATGGAGAGGAAGGAATTTATAATTCTCAAAACCAAAGAATGATTTACAATGCCGACCGCTACCTGAATCCTTCAGTGTATCATCAACACGCAGATGAAATATTAAGAATTAGCAGGAGTGTCAGCACTGGGTCTTAAAATCGATGGATTAATTGGTTCAATAGCACTGAGCGAGTCAACCCCTTTCAGCAGAATTTTGAGAACTCACAAACAAGAACATGACATAGAAACCACCTTTGTACGGCTTCTTCAAGGGGCTTTGGGAATCCAGCCTTTCTCTGCAGCGGTCTGGTGCTCCCCTCTCCTGTTTATACGTGATGTACCTTGTTTCCACGCACACAGGTTGCTGCCCTCGTTCCAGCTCTGGTCTTCTGGTCTGCTTTTGGCTGTTTGTTTAGTACCAGCCCCTCCCCTCCACCCCCCCACCCCCGCCCCCTGTGAATTCACTGGGCCCTTTGCAGGGCACATTTATTGTTTTAGGCACCATGCAATTTACTAAATGGTGCTCCAGTTGTGTAAAACGCTTGCAAAGACCCCTGAGGGAAAACAAAAGAATTAAGTAAACACATATTGATCATCTTGTAGTTGGTGCTTTCCTGTTTGATCAGTCCAAGGCCCAGTCTGAACTCGCCCATCGGATCTATGATACATAAAGCTGGGGACCTCTTTCTGGCTCTCCGGTGGTTTAAAAGTCTGGGCAGTAAGAACAACTGCTTTAAACAAAGCCTCGTTTTAAAAGAAGCCCGAGTACAGAATGGAATTCAAAGAATTTAGAGGGAAAGGAGGTGAAAGTGGTAAAAAAAAAAAAAAAAAAAAAATGCCCTGGGAAATTTAAGAGAAGAAAGCACATGGGAAGGAAAAGATAAATTCCATCTGTCCTGTTGTGAGACGCAGAGACCAGGGTGCTCCTCAGCCAGGATGAACACCCACGAAGTGCAGGGCTTGTAAGGAGGTACAGCTACGGTGTTCTGGGAATACTCCAGGACTGAAACACAATTCTTCGGTCAAGGAGGAATAGTTTTTCATGCGAACCAAGGATCTGTATGCAGATATTAAATTCCCAAAGGCAACGGATACGTGCCCTTTGATTCAAATATTGGGAACAGAAATTATTCTCCTGTGTCATTCATTTTAGAATTCTACATCAAACATGTTGGTAACAAATTAATACTAGAGAAACGATTGAGAGAATGTTTATTTCAAAGGAGGGAATTGGAGGCTCTGGGGTCCGCTCTTGTTTCTGCCCTGTTACCCGCCCCCCATTCCTTGAACAAACTGCCTAATACAGCCTTGGCCACTTTGTATTTGCATTTGCCTGTTTGTTGCACCCCCAGAACCTCTGGGGAATAGGAGGAGAGCCTGGGGGGGGCAGTGAGGAGATGTGGAGTCCTTTATAGAGGATGTGCTTCAGACCCTGTCCTAAGGAAAAAGTGGGAATGCAGAGGCACAGATGATTCTAGAAACCCCTGGAAGATTTGGGTCGCTGACTGGATCTTGAGATTTAGGATGAGGGGACAGACAAAGCTAAGACTGAGGTTCCCAGTGTGGAGGCCGGAAGAATGGCAGCGACTCGGGGACAACGGGGGTCATTGTGATGGGTGGGAAGTTGGGAGATGGGAGCAGATGTTACCAGTTGCATTTCGACAAACTGCATCTAAGAGGTCTCGTCTTATTGGAAAGTCAGTTGGAAGTATGGACTGGGCCAAATCGGAAATCCTGGAAATACATGGTACCCAGACGGTTAGAGCAGGAAGCAAGGCTGCAGAGTGCTAAAATGTGGGGCAAAGACTGTTCTACTCATTTGGGCATGTATAATGATAAAGATCCTCACCCTGTAAATTGCAAGTTGCTGGCGGTCATTTTCATCATTTGCATTTTGTCCTAAAAGTGTGTGACAGTTGAGAGAAGTGGTTCTCTGCAGAGGAAGAGTTTACTCCCAGGGGACACTGAGCAGTGTGTGAAGACATGTTTGGGTGGATGCTGCTCAAATCCGGTGGGAGAAGGTGAAGGCCGAGGGGGCCGCTCCCACCCTGTCACGAACAGGACAGCCCCAAGAGCAGTGATCCTGTCCACACTGTCATAGAGCCCAGGCGGGGACTGGAGTCGAGGAAAATGAAGGGATGTGGGCTGCAGGGAGAGATGGTGGCTGAGACTTGCGAACAAAGTCTTCTTCACCATGAAGAAGCAGGTTTGGGAGGGGAACGGATAAGGTAGGGCCATTCATCTGTTCATTCATAGAATCTCCCTTCCCAGAGTGATTTCTGCGGACCAGGAATTGAGCTGGAGAGCAATGCTGGGGAGCCCATAGAAGGAAGATGCTTTGGAGAAAAGGAAGGAACGCGGTAGAGCCAAACCAAAGATGCTTGGCTATTAAAAGTGTGCCAGGCACAGCTTTGGTGTCCAGAGTCACCTGTGTTCTTTTGTCACAGGGGGAGATAACATGCTACTTCACAGGTTTCTAAGGAAAATCACAGTGGACACACCCGGGAGCCATAGGTTACTGTCAGGAGCCCCTGGGAACTCCTTTATGTTCTATTTGTGACCCGCTCATGCTGGTCCATATGTAGAGCCAGAGACGGGGAAAGGCATCGCGGGTTCTCAGAAGTGTACAGGGCAGCGATGTGTGTGTAAGTATGCGTGTGCATGTGTGGACTGGAGAGGCCGAGACGCTTGCGTGGCTTTCGAGGTGCTCTGCTGGCCTGGGAGTAGGTGCTGGCTTTGTTTTTCCAGTAACAGCCTTTTCTGTTTCCAGCAGTCCTATGCACCAGCTCCCCACCCCATGGCTCCTCCCAGCCCCAGCACAAACAGCAGCAGCAACAACAGCAGCAACAACAGCAGCGGGGAACAATTGAGTAAAACCAACCTGTACATTCGAGGCCTCCCACCAGGCACCACTGACCAGGACCTAATCAAGCTGTGCCAACCGTAAGTGCCCTTCTGCTCTGCACCGTTTCTCACCCACCTGCTCGCCCGCCTGGGCTCAGACCACACAGGACTCGGTTCCAGTACCCGATAACCCATTCATTCGTTGGTGTCTCAGGGAGGAAGGCTCTGTGGTATAAATTTGAGATCTAAGTCCAGCTTACTTTAGGGAATGCAGTGTTTACTTTATGGTGTAAAAGTGGGGGTTCTTGAACGAGATACACACGGGAGTGTGGGCTGATACGCATGTATCGACCAAGGGGATGATGGGCAAGCATTGAGCTGGGCCCTCAAACTTTGTGGCCGGTGGAGTCAGCGATGAATCTCATGCAAAAAGCCGCTTTTAATTTTGCAGAAGTATTAGTGGGGGAATCTCAAAAACTCAGAAGAGGTGGTAGATTTCAGGATGGTTGTCTCCTGTGTTGCAAAGCTTTTCTGGCCGGTTCTTGGTACATCTCAGTTCAACGGGAGCCAGGTAATCGGAGAATTATAAGGAACATTCTCGTTTCCTTGAAGATATCTGCCTGCAAGCCCAGTGAAGCTATGTTCCATCAAGGCCAAGAACTGGACTCGCCGAGTAGCCTTATGTTTTCTTGGAAATGTGGTAGTGATTCAACGCCCTTCCAAAAATGGTTTCATGATTCTGTTATCTACCAACACATATTATTAACGCTCCTATTTCTTTGAAAACAAGTCAAACATTTAAATTTACCCTCCAAATAAAATTAACAATGGATAATGAATTAAGAATCGTAGACCTGTATGTTTAGATGATTGTCTGATGATTTTCATTATTATTATTATTTTTTTTTATCCTTACCCAAGGACATTTTTCCATTTTTGTTCAAGTAGAGTGGGAGGAAGAGAGAGGAAGAGAGAGAGAGTGAAACATCGATATGAGAGAGACACGTCGAGTGGTTGCCACCCACACAACCCCAACCAGGGCCGGGGACAAACTGCAACTGAGGTACATGCCCTCAGCGGGAATCGAACCTGGGTCTCTTTGGACCGCAGGCCGACGCTCTAACCGCTGAGCCAAACTGGCCAGGGCTGTCTAATGATTTTTAAAGCAACATCTGCACAGCGCTTTGTTGTTTGGTTGCGCCTTGGCCGGGGATTTTTAAATTAGGGGAAACTATTACTCAATTTTTTTTCTCTTTTGCAATGCTTTTACAAGAAGGTTGGGAGGATATTTATTTTGTGAATTTTCCAACTTCTAAAATATTGGACGAGGAAAACAAAGCAGACAGTATTTATTTGCCTTTGTTCTGGTTTTTAAGATTGGGAACAAATAGCAAAACAACAGAAAGTGGCAGATAAACCAAAACACAGATACATTACTATATAACCAGTGGACTAGGCAGTGTGTGGATTAGGTTGGAGGCACTTGGAAAAAAAATATTTACTTAGAAACAGTTTTTGAAAAGAAACAAAATGTGCCAGGGCTAAGACATGTGAATATCTCTCAGGTTTTGGTCTATAAAATGTTGAGGTTGAGAATTAGAAAGTAAATCACTGACTTTGTTTTTGTTCTTGCTGTTAGGAAATCTAAACCATTTTGAAAAGTCAGGTCTTTGAAAATGTGAAAGATTGCAGGCTTGTCGTTAGAAGCTTCAGACCAAGCATCACCTGCAATGGCATCAGATGTGAACATAAAAGTAGCTATTAACTGTTTTGTATAGGAGTCTCATTCATGAAAACAATTACTGGATAGTAAAGAAACATTGTTTCCCATTGCTCCATACTAGTCAGGGCACTGGTTGAAACACAGATTTCTGAGGGCCAAAAAGATTATGATTCACTAGGTCTGGGGTGGAGCCCAAGCATAGGCGTTTTTCCTGGGCTCCGTGGTGTTGTTGGTATTGCTGGTTTGGGGGGGATGCACATCTCTCTCAATAATAGGAAGACCACTGACTATTTCTAATGCATCAAGTGTCACTTAATATGTGAAGGTTGCTGAGTTGACATCTGTGTATTGCAACCTGCACAGCCATTGTACGATGTTGAAGCAGATCATTGACTCTGTTTGAGCTCAGTTCGCTCTTAGAAGAGTAGCTTACCCTGTAGTATCAGTGGTGGGTGGGACCTGCCCCTGATGGGTGTGCTAGAGCCAATTGTTAAATACCCTGGAATTCTGGGAGTGATTTCTTACAGGCCACAGTGGGAGTATTTCTATCACAGGATTAAGGAAGCCTTACAAATCCAAATCAGGGCTTTTCAAAAATTTTATCTCATTCTTTTTTTTTGAGAGCTGTTTTATGAACCACTAATACAGCATTATACTATGAAAATCTGTATCGATATCTACTTCTGCAAAAAAAAAAAAGATGCTGCCAGAAATGTACACATGGAAGGTGTTACCTAAAAGCCTGCATTGGCATTTTTAATTTAGCAAAGAGATTTAGTGGCATAGAAACATTGTTTTTGAGAAAATACGTTTTGTTAATATGTCTAATGTGTACTGGAGAAATTTAAAGAATGCTAAGTGCACAGAGGGTAATGGTTACTTGCTCATATTAATTTTTGCTAGCTAATAAGATGTGGCTCATGCTATTGTTATTGCAAAAATGTTTATGGCTTTGCTAGCTACTGAAGTGGTCTAGGCCTGGGGTTTATTACTCAGATTCATTTTCCTAGAGGATCTTACAGAACTAATGTGAACGGGCGATGAGATGGAGTAGAAATAACTGTGCACTAAAGTCTGGGTTTCAGTCCGGGCTATGCCATCAACGGGGTAATAGCCTTAGACAAATGATTTGTCCCCTTAACATTAGTTTCCCATGTATAAAATAATGTGTGTGAACTCAGTAATCTTTTAAACGTTTTCATTCTGAAATTCTGTTATTTTCTTGAGGTCCTCAGTAGTGAGCAATGAAGCCTGCTGTGGGCCACCTATTACATCTTTCACTGGTCCCCTTGTGCAGAGTTACTGGGGCCACGTCCTAAAGCGATAAGGCTGTGTGACACACCTGATGGCTGGAGGTGCCTTTGGTACAAGACAACAGGTCGTGTGTAAAGTTCTGGTTCCTCTCTTGTAGTGTTGGCCTCTTACATTGCTCGTTGCGGGTTTACATGAGCAGTCTCCGAAAGATGCAGATCATTTCGCTTCTGATTATTCATCTGATCCTTTAAAGCAATTTCATTTATAAAAGAGATAATATTTATTGATTTAAATAAACTTGCCATCAGGATCAAGTTCCCCTGTTTCTTCCTGTGAAATTGTAAATATTTTAGAGTTGGTATGGAAAATGCACTATTTGCTAATATCTATAGTAATGAAATGATAGAAAATAGAGATTTACAAAAAAGGGCATAGATACATCAAATTATCTGGTATTTGAATGCAATATCCATGTTAATGCTGATGAACAGCAAGAAAATTATATTAAAGGAGAGCAATTGCATTATTTCACAATGAAAAATCTGAGAGAAAATTCTGTTAAAGTATTCCATTCACATTCATCACCAAAGCTCCTATGTGTAGATTGCTAGTAAAACAAAAAAATTAAAAAATGAAGACAGGACTGAAAACTAATAGACATGAAGAATGACTTCACTCCATGGAAAATCTCTAATTATAACTACATTTTGGATGAATACATTACACTGTGTGTCTTGTAGGAAATACCTTGTAATGTCTTCATCTTGAGAATTCTCAAGGAACTTAATTGTATTCTCAATTAAGAAATATTTACAGAGCCCAGGCTGGTTTGGCTCAGGATTTAGAGCATCAGCCATCAGACCAAAGGGTCGAGGGTTTGATTCAGGTCAAGGGCACGTACCTGGGTTGCAGGTTCAATCCCTGACCCAGGTTGGGGTCACATGGGAGGCAACCAATTACTGTCTCTCTCACATCGATGTCAATGTTCCTTTCTCATACTCTCTCTTATCCCCTCCCTCCCTTCCACTCTAAAAATCAATGGAAAAAATATCCTCAGGTAAGGATGAGCAACAACAACAAAGATAGCAAGAAAGAAATATTTACAGACCACCTGTGTTACTTACCAGATACTGGGCTGAAGATTCAGTGGTGAATAAATTTAGAGAAAGGCTTTGCTTTAGTAGAGCTTATAGTCTCCTCGGCAAAATAGGACATCAATGAAATAATCACATGATTTGATATAAAATTGCAACTATCAATGCAATACAGGAGCATAGAACTAAGAGTCTTTGAAACCGCGAGATTATACCTGGTAGGGCAATGAGCAAGGGCATCTCTGACAAAGTGACAGCTGAGCTATGATCAGAGGAGGAAGAGGTTTAACTAAGTGAGGAAGGAAGGGAAGAACATTCCGGGTGGAAGGAATGCCATGCGTGTAGAACCAATGGCTGGAGGGAGCATGACCGTGATAAAGGGCTGAAGGCAAAGCCGATGTGGTTTGAGCAGGGAGGGACTTGGAGTGAGGGGCAGGATGAGCTGGAACCATGGAGAGGAACAGGCGATCCCTTTGTGCGTCATTAGGAGCTCTGTTTTATCCTAAGAGCGATGGAGAAAGTCACTGAATTGTCACAAACAGGAAGGGAACATGGAACTTGTTTCCAGAAGGTAACTCCAATTGCTTGGTCGGAAGGATTCCATGAGATCAAGGAATGATCAGAGCAGGAATAGGTCAAAAACAGTCTGGAAGAAGAAGAATTTATGGTTAGAGAAGCAGGCATGAAAATTCGTCATTGTGGTGGTGGACCAATTATGTGTGGTGAAAGATGTATTTTTTTCATATGCATTTATTTATTTTTTATTAAAAAGCAAGGATGTGAGAGATAACTAACCAAATGAACTCCAAAAACAAACAGTGAAGTAACACAAAAAGGCCCCAATCATTGATTTTTAGTTGTTCTTACCCAGTCATGAATGGGTCATTAATTTACTATTAAACACGGATTGGGTACAATCTTAAAAGCACTAAAGGTAAATACAGCGGACCCTTGAGAAACATGGGGGTTAGGGACGCTGACCCCACCATGCAGTCGAGTACCCATCCACAGATAACTTTTGACTCCTC